ATATATTGTATGAGAAGAAAGGAAGTAGTGAGAAAGATTTTGACAATGGGTATTCCAATGTAAAGCGCATTGAGCCACTTTTTTTTGGTTGGAAATACGCTATATAAATGTTATATTATATTAGTATTATTATTATTACTTCCTCAGTGCCAACATGTCCGTGGTTCATTTCTCCCTGAACTTTGCACGTGACCAGCTACACACGGCCTTGTCGCTCCAGGCCGATGACGTCAGCGCTCCAGACGATGACGTCAGCGCGGGCCGGGCCGTGCAGGCACTCCTCAGGAACCAGGTTGTGAAAAGACAGGCCGAGATGACTCTCTCCATTCGGCCGGAGTCTATTGTGATCTTAGGTAAGGGAGGAACCTATACGTTCTTATACAGTCTCTTGAGTGTCTATGGAGGAACTCTTTCACGTGTGCGCCTAGCATGCTGCAATATTGTACGTACGTCGTGGTTCAAGACTATATCTGGTTATTAGGATGGTTTTGGGGTGGGTGGTTGGTGGTTGGTTATTACTTAGGAACAGGATTTGAACAGTGGCAGCAGCTGCAGTATTTGAACACTCTCATTACATGTTTGCATATTCATGTAAGAAAATATAACAAAAACTAATTTATGTTTTCTCTACCACCTCCCCCTGCCCTCTATTTTTCCAACGACAACAATGACAACAACAACAACAACTACAACAACGAAAGCAGAAAACATTCCAGTGACGCCATCAACACCGGTTACGACAACCGAGTCTTCCACGACGATATCTTCATCTCCGCCATCGTCTTCATCGTCGCCAACATCGACCACAACAGAAGCTGACACAACAACAACGACTGCAGCAACATCACCATCATCAACAACAACAGCAACAACATCACCATCACCAACAACAGCAACAACAACATCACCATCATCAACAACAGCAAAAACAACAACAGCAGCGACGAATCCGTCGACGTCCACCACTGCAACAACAACAACTGCAACAACAGCAACAACTTTGTCCCCAACCTCGACGTCAGTTTCAACAACAGAGACAACGG